GCTAAATGAGAGCTAACGGAATTGAGAGGCTCTTTCCTCCAGGCCTGGTTGTCCCCAGCTTTTCCCTTCCTATGAGCCCCCCAGAGCCGGCTCCGCAGCCCAGGCAGACCACTCACATGTCTGTTCTGGACAATGTCCTCCCTCCTTCCCACCCTGGGGTCTCCAGGCTCAGGGCTCAGCCCTGGAGACGGTAGACTTCAAGGCGACATGAGAACGTGACGGTTTTGACAGTTGGGATATTACGTCGTTCAACGTGAGTGGGGTGAGCTGACGCTCGGTGTGGCTGAACACCGCAGTGAGGGGTCCAGTGTCCAAGCTCAGAGGTCTGGGAGCCTCCGCGGGCTTCCAGCTTCTCATCCACAAACAGATCACGTGAGCCGACCTCTGAGGCCTTATAAACGAGACAGTGTCAAGAGTGTAGCTCCATACCTGGTACCCACTGAGCGACCACTACAGGCCGTGAGGGAGGGGGGGCCCAGGGTGGGGAACAGGCAGCCTTTAGAGGGTCTGGAGAGACGAGGGGGTGGGGGATGACCAGCGCACCCGTCTGGAACCACGCCCCAGCCACGTATCCATCTGGGGAACCCCAGACTCCCGACTGCAGGCCCCCATCCCCTCCTGGGCAGGAGGGCCCAGGTGCTGGGAGAGGGGCAGGGGAGGAGGGTCCGGCAGGAGTAGCTGTCACCCTGATGAAGCCACCTCGCCGCCATAATGAAGACCTCATGTACCTCCAGTGACACTTAGCGAATCCTGGCACAAATAAATAACCCAAGTCCAATTGAATTAACCTTCTGCTGATCGGCCCAGCTAAACAAATTATCCCGCAGGCCCAACGAGATTACAAGGCCCAGCGGGATGGGCTCACTGGGCGGAGCGTTCGTTGGGTTTAACGAGTTTACGCAAATGTTCCTTCCCTGGTTTTAGGCCACTCAGCTCCCGGTGCAGCCTTTGAGGCCACAGCCCTGTGGGCTGCAGAGGAAACCAGACACATGTCAACGGAGAAGGTGGGTATGGGCGTGGCAGGGGCAGGAGACACCCTTTCAGGAGCAGGAAAGAAGGCGCAGGAGGCCTTTACACGCAGGCCGGTGCCAACAATGGAGCCGAGTCTGATTTCCAAGGAGACATGCAGGTGTGGGGTGGCAGACACCATGCTCTCCCTGAGACCCCCACACCCAGCTGCATTTAGACCCGGCCACCCGGGAGGGACCTGCTTTGTAAGGACCTGTCTGTGCCGGGCCCCATGCAGGGGCTGGAGTCTCCCCACTCGGTTGGAAGGTGGAGCAGCCCCGGGCTCCCCTCCCCCACAGCGGTGCAGGCTGGGTATTTCCACGCCTGTACCTGCCCTCCGCTCCCCCATGAGGCCGGCCTCTTCCCAGCTGCCACCACACGTCCACCACCACTGCACGTTTTAGGATGAGAAGCACGGGGCTCTCTGCCACCTCAGAGCAGGAACGGCTGTGGCTGCAGGTGTGTTTCTGGCTCTCTGAGCAGAGAGGCAGGAGCCGGGAGGACCCGCGGCAGAGCACAGCAGAGGACATGCCCCATGAGAGCGGCGGCCGCAACGTGGCGGCAAGGCGGCCAGGTACATCCAAAGGAACCTGGAAACGGGGTCTCCAAGATACTCACACCCACGCCCGCAGCTGCGCTGCGCACAGCCAGGAGGCGGGAGCAGCCCGGGGTTTCCAGTACAGCCTTGACCGTCTAGTCCAGCTTCCATTTCCTGCCCCTGACTGGACTGCTCACGCTGGGCTCTGATCTACAATCCTACGGCCTGGGTGTGCCTGGCACTCTCCCTGGAGGACGCAGCCCTCTGTGACTTCGCGCCACCCTTGCTGTGCCTAGCACAGAGTCTGGCCCTCAGCAGGTATCTAACATAAATCACAGATGTCAACACCTTTGCAGGACAAAGAGCTTTGTCATTAGGTGACTGTTTGAATGGGGGAGGGAGACACCCACAGGAGAGAGACAGAGGGAAGAGAGACTGTGGGAGAGAATTGGCTGCTGGCCTCCTGGATAGACCAGCAGCAGCCCTGGCCAAGGGCCAGGTAGGAAGAAGGCCTGAGGGAAGGGGAGCGCGCCTCCCCAGAGGGAGTGAGGCAGACAGGACGCCTGGGTTCCTCCGCCCACAACGGGCCTAGCCCACGTCCTGCTCCCACCCACGGAGAGGGTTCTGTGGCCTCTGCTGCCCCCCAGAGGAGCTCGCTAGGAGAGCCAGTGCTCCCTGCCCAGCTCTCCCTGGGGCTGGGGGCGCCCTGCAGCCTCTGGCGTAGCCCCGATGATTTCCCTGCAGAGACCCAACTCAGATCCCCGCCCGGGTTCACCCGGGGGCTGTGGGTGCTCCAACATGGTGCAGGGTCCCGACCCCCTGTCCACAAGGCCACAGGCTTCCTGCTTCGCCCTTTTCTTTCTTTCTGATCATAAAGGACTCTAGCTACACAAAATACAAACAGTACACAGATGTGTAAAAATTAAACTGAAAGCCCCACTTCATGCTACACCCCCACCGCCCCCAAAATGGCCTCTGGGACACAGAGTCACGCCCGGCTTTTTCTCCAGGCAGTGGGTCCTGTGTTCCAGGGTTCAGCTTACAGGTCTGTCTCCTTCTTCACAGCTGTTTTCCTGGGGGAGTTTTGCTCCTTCCTTTCAGCCCTCTCTGAAGCTCCTGCCTGCTCCATCTGTTGGAGGTGGGTTATTCCTGTTCTCTCCTGACTCTGCCCTGACCTGCAGCGATCTGCTGCTCGCCATCTCATCTCTGCGGGGGGTGGGGGGGGCCTCAGACCGGCTCCTAGCAGAAAATGTTCACTGAGTGAAAGACCAAGCTAACGTTTCTCTCCTGACGACAGACACCCACGTGAAGCCATCCTATGCCCGAACGGAGAGTAGATGGGCTCATACAGCTGAGAGACGAGGGACTCACACAACTGCTCTCTCCATGGACGGTGGATGATTGATGAATGGATGGATGGATGGATGGATGATGGATGGATGATGGATGGATGGATGGATGGTGGATGGATGGATGGATGGTGGATGGATGGATGGATGATGGATGGATGGTGGATGGATGGTGGATGGATGGTGGATGGATGGATGGATGGTGGGTGGATGGTGGATGGATGGATGGATGGTGGATGGATGAATGATGGATAGATGGATGGATGGACAGATAGATGGTGGATGGATGGATGGATGGATGATGGATGGATGGTGGATGGATGGATGAATGATGGATAGATGGACGGATGGACAGATAGATGGTGGATGGTGGATGGATGGATGATGGATGGATGGATGGATGGTGGATGGATTGATGGATAGATGGATGGATGGATGGTTGGTGGATGAATGATGGATAGATGGATGGGTAGTGGATGGACGGATGGATGGTGGACGGACGGATGGATGGTGATGGCTGGTGAAGGATGAGTGGTGGAGGGGGGGTGACTTCAGCACTTTCAGAGGAAGCCCCCAGCAGTGCAATGAGGCAGCGGACAGCAGACCTGCGCCCTGAGGTGTTGAGGGGGGTCCCTGGGCAGGGCATGGCAGCACCTGCAGTGGAAGGAGCTGACTCCACACTGCGGACGTGGGTGAAGGAGTTGACACCCCCTTTGTGTACTGGGATGTTGTAGGTGTGAACGCTGCTCCCCCAGGCTGCTCACCACACCTGTAATTCCTTGCCTGTGTCTGCCTCCCCCTGGGCTGTAGGACTGGGCCCTCCGGACGCCGAGCACCCACAGGGGGCCCGGCACGGCATTCAGCAGTGACTGAACGGGGGAGCTTCCTCCTGTGGCCTTTCCCGTTCCCAAACAAGTGCCTAGTCCCTGCCCACCCTTTCCCGAGGCCCCCACAGAGGAGAGAGGGGACAGGCACGCATTTTCTTGGTGGCAGGAAATAAAAAATGGGTTTGAGGAGTCCTCTGTGTGTTCAGGGCTTGTGGGCGCAGGCAGAAAGCCAAGAATTCGCAGCCATGTACAAGGGATGACCGTGCTGCTGGGTTTGGGGTGACGGAGGGGCTCGGATGGCCGTTTTTGTTTCCATCTGTTACTATCATTTATTCTGATGCTCATATTGTCCTATATTTAGCCACCAGGAGCCTCTTCACTGAGCTATTGTTTTAACTTGTAATTGTGGTAAAATACATAGAAAATTGACCATCTTAATAACCATTTTTACATGTGCAGTTCTGTGGCATTAGGTACATTCACACTGTGGTGCAGCCGAACCCACCGCCGTCTCCAGAACTTTCCATCTTCCCAAACTGACACTCTGTCCCCATGAAACACGCACTCCCTATCTCCCCTCCCCAGCCCCGGGCCCCACCTTCTACTTCCTGTCTCTATGAGTCTCTAGGTCCTCACAGATGTGGGGTCACACAGTGTGTGTCCTCCTGTGACTGGCTGATTTCACTCAGCATGACGACTTTCCTTCCTTTTTAAGGCTGAAGCTATTGTACGGGCCCCAGTGTGTCATCCATCCTCCAACGCCTCCACCTGTTGGCTGCTGTCAACTGTGAGCGTGGGTGTGCGAGCACCTCTTCAGGTCTCTGCTTTCATTGCTTTAGGGTATAGACCCAGACGTGGAATTGCTGGGTCATATCATACTTCTATGTTTAATTTTTTTAATTTTGTGTAAATTTAAAGCCACTATACTATTTCACACAGCAGATGCACCATTTTACATCCCCACCAGGAGCACAAGGGCTTCAGTTTCTCCACATCCTCACAACACGAGGCAATCCATCCTGCTGGGTGCGCAGGGCCTTGATTTAAAGCGGGAGCTTGCCTGGGTTGGAGGTGGAGTTTTCTATCAGTTCCATCTGTTGTTTGTTTAAATTTTTAATTCCCTTTTATTTACATACCCCAAAATTCACTCATGATATACAGTTCCAGGAGTGTAGACAAATGCAGACATCCATGCACCACCACCCCAATCATGATACGGAAGTGCCATCACCCCAAAAAGTCCCCTCGCGCCCGTCTGCAGTCAGACCCGCCACTCACCTGGTTGCTGTTCCTGCACCATGAATGGACTCGAGCAGCAGTAGCCTCTCATGCTGGGCGTCTTCCACTGAGATCCAGCCGTGCGCATTACCAGTAGCTTAGAGAAGTGCCCCCTGCACGAGGCTCCGAGGGGCGGCATCCTTTCACCTGGGAAAAAAATAGGGGTTCTGTCCCGTGTGGGGCCACTGCAGAGAAGGCCACTACAAACACTCATGTCCAGCTTTCTGTAAAAAACAACTTTCATTTTTCCTGGGGCAATACCTAGGAGTGGGGCTGCTGGGTGTTACCTTCCTAAGAAACGGGTAAACTGCTTTTCAAAGTGCCTGCCCACTTGCATTCCCACCAGCCACGCAGGACGCTCCCGCTGCGCCCAACTCTGGCCAACACTCGGTGTTGCCGGGTCTGGTTTAGTTTAGTTGTGTTTTCTTTGGAACATTCTCATAGAAGTTAACAGTATCTCACTCCGGTTTTCAGCTTGACCGTGACGTACACAACTGTAGATGTTCGGATTTGGGAAAGCCTCTGAAACTCTGAGTCCAGCCCCCAAATGTGACACCCCTGTCCCGAGTCCTTGTCCCAGCTGACCACCTGGCTGCAATCCCTCCAAAGGGAGGGCACCCCTCCACAGCCCACCCCCATCCCAGTGCCGGAGCTGGGTGAGTGGATTGGAGGCAACTGCAGGCCATTCTATAGATGCGCGAGGGGTTGTCCACAGCTGTCACCAGGTGGTACCTGAGGCCCAGGACAGCGTCTGCTTTCTCCCAGCCCATCCTCCCCACACTGAGCCACTTGCTTGGCGCAATGCAGTTCAACAGACGTTGGTGTGGCCCCATGACGTGTGGCCTCGGCACTGTCGTCTCCTTGTAAGAGGGCACAGGGTGAGTACAGTAGGCCTCCGTGTGGATCAGCAGCTTTGTCGCTGGCTCCACACAGGGCAACGCAACGGCTTCCTCCTCAGGAAATAATTTATTAAGATATTGAAAGGCTGGCTTTCGGAAATTGTGCGTGGGTTAAGGTTTCATTTATTAAAGAACTAAACGAATAACGGGAGACGTGAGTGCTGGGTAGTGTTTAATATCTCTGATGAGAGCAGCGAGCCTCGCACTGGGACAAGATTGTCATGTTCGGGTTTGACTCAGTTCGGCAGAAAGCAGAGTGACACACCAAAGTCTCGATTCTGGGCCACGATGGCATTGGGTCCAAAATGGGATTTTCTTTGTGTTTACTGTGTGATGTTAAGTGAAAATACTCCCATTGACATAAACCTCCAAACCATCCCCCGGCCACACAGCCCTTGCCGGCCGGGCTGAGTCCACACCCAACAGGGAACACCACCGGCATCTGAAGGAAAAAGATGTTTTCACTTCTGACCCTGTGCTGCAGGCATCTCAGAAGCAATCTTGAAATGCTCCCTGGGAAGAGGGTTTGTTCCCTTTCCGGATGAACTGCTCTTACAAACTAGACTCGGCTTTAACGGTATTCGTTAATTTCCCTTGGGAAAAATTTGAATTTCACATAAACCCAGAGTTTTGTTTTTGTAATAAAATATATGTGATTTTCAATTGGTTGCCTTTAATTTTTTTTCTCCAAAAACCTTGGCAGCAAATGTTTTTCTTATATCCTGCCCCCTCCCTCAACTTAGATATTCCTCGTTTGGAAAAAATCGTTCGCCATCTTTTCCCAGATAACTGGGTGCTACTAAGGTAATTCCTGTGTTATAGAGCACCCTAATGGGAACTGTTTCTATTTTTGTGTTGCTGTTCATTCAAGGGTCTTTGTGACCACCATATTGGGGTCACTGTGCCACACAAGCAACTCTCCAGTCAGGCGGCCATGGCACCAGGTTCCGTCACACCCAGCTGGGAGCCAAGAAAAGGGCAGTGGTGAGACTGGGGTGAAAACCAGGGTCCACAGGGCACGAAGTCTCTGTCCTTAGTGGCCAGGTTTCCATGGGAAAGACATTCAGCCATGAGGTCAGCCACGGTCACCTGCGCCTCCGCAGCTTCTCATGCCTGCTTACAAATTTACATCCTAATACGGCACGATCGGCTTCTGTGCCGTCACAGCCTTTCTCCAGACAAGGTTGTGGCATCATGTCCCCACGGCCTGAATTGTGTGTCGGAGGCTGCTTCGATATTTACCAGGCCAGCCAAGGGCAACTGGGGACCATGCAGACTGGCTAACACTGCCACTCCTGGTCCTTCTGCTCCCTGCAGAAGCCTGGCGTGCAGAGAGGTTGGAGCCACTGATCCCATGAGGGCCACTTATGTGGTATCGCCACTGGGTTCCAACGACCCAGGGAAGGAAGGAAACTCTTCAATACCCTGAATGTGTCAGGCCCTAAACTCGGCCCTTCTGCAAACGGGACGTCATTTAACCCTCCCAATTATTCAGCAAACAAGAATCGGTTCCTCCAAAAGGAATGGCACAGGCTACAACATAGATGAACTTCGTGATGCTGAGTGAGAGACGCCAGACACGACGGCCACACACCGTGCGTCCACTTACAGGAAACACCCAGGGCGGCACGTCCAGAGACAGGAAGTAGATGGGCGGCTCCCAGGGCTGGGGAGGGGAGAGTGAGGAGTTCCACGTATACTTTGTAACTTCTATTTATGATTTCTTCTTCGGCATACGGTATTTAGAAGTATGCTTTAACTCCCAACGCACGGGAAGTTGCTTTCACATTAACGTAGTTTTTAAATACCGATTGTCTAGGGCTGGGCATGTGACCCAGAACTGGCCAATAAATGGATTCCATCTCCTTGCCATAGTGACTAGTTCAGGGTCAGGTTCATGAACCAGGCTGGTCTCTGGAGATTCAATCCTGGGACTTTTATTGGGGAAACTGGGAAAGAAAAGTGACTGAGGTGTAGAGGCTGGTGCTCTTACCTCAACACAGAGACAGCCCTGTGAGGATGGAGCCAACATGACGGCCGCGGAGTGAGGAGCTGGGGAGAAGCTGTGTGAGCCCACCTACCGTCCTTCTGCGCATGAGATGGTTTCTCAGGGCGTCTGCCAGCTATGCTTGAAAAAACCCTAGTGGATACACCTTCCCTCACTCTGTAACCCAAATATAATACGATATCTGTACCTAAGGCCTATGTCTCAGGCCTGTATCACAAATGTCACCTCCCACTATCTGCTACCAGCTCCTCTCGTAGCCTGACAAGAGGAGTGAGTGTGACAATCACTTATAAACAGTTCCACCTACTACCACGTTTCACAGAAACCAGAGGGAGGGTTGTGTCTGCAAGACCGTGGCTCAGGCGGGGCCTACAGAGACCATCCTGTGAGGCCGGAGCACTCAGGCCACAGGCCAAGGGCAGCAGGCGGCTCCTGGAGCACGAGTCCGTCCGAGTCCCCGTGCTTGATGTGCACCCAGCTGTCCCCCGGCCGGCACACTTTACTAAAGGACGGGGGAACAGCTGGTCAGAAATAAATGTGACAGCTACGCTCATAAAGTCCCTGTGACCCGCTGCACGTGGGCCACCTCAGCCATCAGGCAGGCACAACTGTCATCCCCAATGAAGCTGGGAGACCAAGGCTGGCTGAGCAAGTTGCCCAAAAGTGAAAAGTGACATCCAAAGAGGTTGACTGTGAAGGCAGAATTCTGACCTGTTCCAAGACTGCTCTCCGCTCCCCACCGGAGGTCCCTACTGCCAAAGTTTCCGTTACCAGAGTGCCTGCAGTCATGAGGCTGCACAGGAAAATAGAAATTATCGTAACACAGTTGCACTAATGAACAGACTGTTTATACACAGGGCTCCACTCAAACCACCATCTGGTAGCCCCAGAATCGCACACGTGCACACCCGACGTTGGAAGGCCTGGAAGTCACACTGTGAAGCCGTGGAAGTCCAGAGCAAATCAACTGCAAAGTCAAACTGTCAACCTCAAGAAAGGTGCAAGTTTCAGGCTGCCCATAATGTCAGACTCAGGGAGGTTCAGATGCAGCCCAAAGCCACGTGGGGGGGCCTTGCGGTGCCCGACAGGCCGGAAACTGAGAACACAGAAACCGACAAGGCTGCTGACAGGACAGCTCTTCAACAAGGAGCAATGTGAATATCTGAATATCCGTTAATCGGATGGCTCTTGGGAAGGTTGGTGGTGCCCTTGTACGTTTCAGCAAAACCAGTCCTGTCCATGGGGGTTGGGGACTCACACAGAGACGCAGGATGTGTTGAACTATCACGGTTTGTTGGAAAATTATGACCCTGCCAAATCAACACTTGATGAATTCTTTGTTGGTTCTACAAGTTAGCAGATAATTGCATTCATAACCTAAAATTCCTTGAATATAAGGCAAATTCAAGATATTTCCCCCTTCTTTTATTTTTCAAGATGAAGTCTCAAATTCTCTTGGCCCACTATTGACACCGTTACCGCCTGATTCCCATTTTAAAGGAATCCGCTTAGGGATCCTTCCAGCCCAATGGCCGCCTTGCGCTGGAGAATGGCCTACGGCAGGCAGCGAGCTGCTCTGCGGTTCTCAGGGTGTGCGTTCTGCCCACACACCCAGGAGGTCCCCAGGAAGCCCGTCCCTAGACGGCCACCGCTCAGCCTAGGACAACCTTCCTGCTTCTCGCTTCCTTCATGCTCAGTCTTTCTGTATCAGAGATCTAGACCAAAAAACAGCCAAATGACAAGCACTTACGTATTTGCTTAAGTGTCATCAAAACATTGCCCACTTTGTTCTTCAGCATCTCTTTTATAAAGGTGACAGGTCATTTCAGAGTTGGTTTTGGGGGGCATCCGATTCCTTGTGACTACTTACCTACGGAGAGAGAACACACAATAGGTGAATAAGAGTGAATGAACCTTTTGAAGGTGTCACATGGCAAAGCAATACATCGGCAATTTGCTTTTTGGATGTGCGGGGCTGGATGTGTTTAAATTTAGAACCAAC